TTTTTACTGCAATCCAAAACTATTCCATCTTCAAACTACATTTTTTGCAAAACTACGAGATCTCTTGTGAATTGAGTAGACATAAGATAAGAGCATCCACTATTCACTAGGCTAGAACATATTCTCTCTTTACTTCTATATTTAGTTACTAAAAATTGGATAAAGTTCCACTTGATATGACCTTTTAGGAAACTACTGACTGGCAGCCAATCAAAGATATATAAAAGTTTCCTAAATATTTCTATTAAGCTTGTCAATGTCGATAATGCTTGCATTTCTTCTACATTTAGTTAATAAATGTTGGATAGAATTCCGTTTGACATGAGGTTTACTAACTGGGGACTAGTGGTAGCCTAAAGATAAAAATAAGTTTCCAATTATCTCCATTGCAGACAAAAGAAAGGAAAAAATTTAGCCGCACCTAGATAGTAAAAGAATCGCATCCGGGGTATGACGTAGACGGTTTACCCTAATGCAAGTATTAACGGCTGCTTTCACAGTTCAAACCTATGATCTACAGGTCACACGGAGATAATTTTATTGTTGCTCCAAGGCTTCCCTTCAGTTGCACCTAAATAGTATTTACATTAAATTATTAGATGTATGAGACGTATTTGTACATAAATTTCGATCACTTAACTATAGTTAATTCTAATACCATGTTATAACTAAATCACATAAGTTAATATGATTCAATGTAAACATCGGCGTGCTGATAAATATTTTTTCAAGAAAAATGCTTGCCAATATTGATAATTAGTGACAGAGGCACCTTCATTCAAGTGACAATTCTTCACCGAAAAATTACATTATGTGGCTAGATAAAATATTTTGACGTATGCATACTATATGTTGAATACCCTTAATGTTTTGTGTATTTATTTTTTATATTTTGACTTCCCATAATAAAAATTCTGACTCCGCGGTCACAACTTTTCCAAAATATATATTGGTTAATCTACTGGAAGTCACTAGGATGGGTTGGTGGGCAGATATGATTTTATGCAACATCGATTCTCCACATAACTTTGCTTTGTGACATACTTCTGTTCCCATTTTGCCTATATACTTTTGAAAGTGTCTTTGTCCTATTGTGAGGAGACACTTAATGAGCCTCAAAATCAAGATTAGAGTACCTACCACTTACATTAATCTACTATTTAAGCGCATTAATAAGGTTTTTTTGCATGAACTAGTGGTAATTATATATTGTGACTTGTCATTGTCAACAGTTTAGTGTTCTTGTTTTATCTTGCTAGTGTCCTATCTTTCTGTGATGATGTCAATTGAAATAGTAGTAGTAAGAAATTCAAGCAATTAATTTGTAGTGGATACTGTGTCGTGAAATAGGCTAGCCATGTCGTCCTCGTCATGGACCTAAATAATTCAAACATCTGAGAATGTTTTTCTGTGTCGTAATCACCCAAGAATTAGGAAATTCCTGTGTGAAAATTCTCAAAATTTGTACGTCTCTTTTACCTACGTTTTCTTGTTAAAACAGCATGAGCCACAAGTTTTTTGATATTTGAAATTACAAAGAAATTGAGAAATAATCACTATTTAAGACGCAGATAAAATTTGGACAAAACAAATAGTGAATTATGTTAGTGCATAATATGTTGTATTCTGAAACTCCTGTGTATAAAATCTCTAACATATTATGTTGGAATTCTAGCACATTATGAATTCCAACACATTATGCTAGGATTTTATATGTAAAAAATTCAAACTAAATACTATTAAAGCTCAAGATATAAAAAACCAACATGAACGCAACTGAAGGAGGCATGATTCTCTCTCGGCGCAAGTTAGCTGATAATAGGCTATATTCATGTAGTTTAGCGACCATTTACGCCCCAACTTAGCTATGCTTTATTGTTATATGAAGGCTAAATGACAAAAATGGCTCTAATTATGAACTTTGTGCTTTGCAGGAGCAAGTCTTGATTCGAAGGACATTGAACAATGTTTGGAGCTAATTTGGAGCAAGGAAAGCCAATCGGAGGTGGAAGTGCTTGAAAGAAGAAGGAAAAAAAAATAGAAAACAACTTAACTTCATGAGCGCGGGCCAAGCGTGGGCGCACTTCAGCCGCGCTCATCAGGCAGAATAGAACGCGATATGCGCGGCCGCGCTCGTCACCTCAAGGAACATTATATTCAGGGGTAATTTCGTAACTTCGAGGGAAACTCTCCTGAACATATAAGAAGCCCAGGTCGCCCAAAGAGAGGGTATCAAGGTTTTTGAAGGATTATTGAAGGCAAGAGGCAAGGCGGAAGATTTGGCATAGAGTTTTACCTTTCTTCCTCTTGTTTTGATCATTAATGATGAATTTTATTGTTGTGATTGTGAAAACGATTATGCGTAGCTAAACATTTAATCTAGGCCTTAATAATTTCTCTGCTTGTTCAACTATATTGTGATTGCTGTTGATTGAAGGGCCATCAATCGGTTGTGCCTATTTAGTATGTATTACTCAGGAGAGTTTATATTTAGGTAGTTGTTGAACAAAACTACTCCTAATGTATATGAGGGATCAATATAAAGGGTTTAAAGATGGGATTAGGGATAACGAAACCTTGGGTGCGATCTAAGTGAGCTGTAACTAAGGCTAGCTAGCGTAATTCGGGAGAATATATCTAGTATACTGTTGTAGCTACTCGGGAGAGAGTTACAACAATCAGAGTGCTCATGATCGATAAAGAAGACTTAGGCAAATTTATAGAAAACATAGCGGAAAGGATTCCGACAAGAGGGGAAATCATAACCTTAGACCATTCTCATTCTTGCTTATAATTAGTCTATAGCTAGTCTTAATTTACTGCATTTTTATTACATAATATTTAGTTAATAAACACCCGAATTGTTAATCAAATATCTCTGAAGATTGAATACATGAATTTCTGTGAATCCAATAGCTGAGATTGATAGGTTAATTTCCTCTGGGATTCGACTCCGGTCTGTTAACCGGAATATATTTGTAGTGATCGCTTTGTTATTTTTATAAGGCATAGTTAGGCGTAATCTAATTTTGGCATCGTTGCCAGAGAATTAACGGTGTTATTGATTGCAGTTAAAAAGAAGTGCATAAATTTTTAATGTAGTTAATTTTCTTCAATTTAAATTGATCATTAAAATTCTAACATTTGTAGTCGTGGTTGTCACAGGTGCATGCCTAGAAATTCTTCAAGAACTGGAGAATTGTTCAAAACATTATCAGATCCTGAGAAGGTGTTTAAAGCATTGAACCGTGCAAACAGGAAATACAAACAACAACAAAATTCAACCGAAAGAATTGAATCAGACATGGAAAATGATAATATAAACAACAGAGACAACGTAAATGACCCAAATAGTAGAAACAATGCAAATGACCCAAATGATCAGGGTGTGGCACCTCTTGTGCCAGAAGCAGTACTATATGACTGGGCACAACCCACAGCTAACAACTTAGCAACTGCTATTGTAGTTCCTCAGATACAAGCAAACTCATTCCAGATCACAAACAATATGCTACATCTGTTTCACAACAAGGGGCTATTCTCTAGGTCATACGTTGAAGATCCTCAGGCGCATCTAAAGAACTTCCTCTCAATCTGTGCCACGCAGAGACAACACAATGTGATATCGGAAGCAATACGTTTGTTGTTGTTTCCATTCTCAGTGACATGAGCAACCCAGACTTGGCTTAATTCACTTCCTATCAACTCCATCACTACTTGGGAGGAATTAGTCAAGAAATATTTGAGCAAATTTCATCCACCCAACAAGACTCAACAAATTGATGAGATATTGAGCTTCAAACAGAGACCCACTAAGACGCTGCATGAAATGTGGGAGAGATTCAAGGGTCTCCTGGTTACATTTCCATATCATGGTATTCCATAGTAGATGTTGGGGCAGAGATTTTACATGGGTTTAGCAGATACTTTGAAGGCTAATGTTGATACTTCAGCAAGTGGAGCATTTTTGAGCAAGACATTCAAAGAGAGCAAGATCCTGCTTGACAAGATGGCACAAAACTCAGGATGGACAACAAGGAATGCTCCAATCACTCATGTGGTTCACGCAGTGGCTCTAGACCCAGCTAACTCCATAGCTAAAAATATGGCTACTTTGATGACACAAATGAGAATCCTCACCAAAAAGGTGGAAGAATCAGGCCAGAAGCATCATGTACACATAGTTGATGCAACTAATAGGGGTCTATGCACATCATGCATTAATCAGCCATATGTTTGCTCATGGAGTGCTAAAGTGATAATCAACAATATCAGGAGAACATGAATTATGTGGCTAACTACGGGGGACCGAGACTAGATGGTCAGAATTGGGGTCAGCAAAATCAACAATACAGACCAGCTCAACAACAGTACAATAAAATCAATAATCATGATGCTATGCGACCATAAGGACAAATGGTGCCTTACCAAAGGCAACAAGGGTACAACCAGCAAAATCAGCAGCAGACTTATCAACAACCTCCATAACAACAGATTGTGAGACATGAAGATGGGTTTACTAAACTCGAGGGTGTGATGCAACAAGTGATTGGGTCCACTGGAAAGCTAGCTGCAGAGTAGACTCACTGAGTCAGCGATTAAAAATATTGAGATCCAGTTAGGACAAATTTCCATGGCCCTAAATAATCGTCCTCATAGGATGTTACCTGCAGACACCAAATCAATCCAAAAGAGTAGAGCCCAAATCAGCTGATGGCAGTGAGTCTCTGAAATGGTAGGGACTTAGATCTGGAGCAAGAAATTGCTCGCGAAAGCAGGCCTACTCAGACACTAGTGCCAGTACCCATTGAGATAGATGGTTCAACAGGTTTAACTAAGGTGACGGTAAAGAATGCGCAAGAAAACACCAACAAGGAAGATGTGGTTGAGAAAGAGACTGAAGCTGCACCGGAATCAACAGTAAAAGCAATGCCCTAACAAGAAAAAAACCAAATTACAGGGAAGAAGCAACCTCCAACACCATTTCCACGGGATTGGCTATGTATAAAAAAGATGAGCAATATAAGAAATTCTTAAAGAGGTTGAAGCAGATTCAGGTGAACATTCCATTGATTGATGCTTTAAAGGAAATTCCAGGGTATGCAAAGATGATGAAGGACTCAATGTCCCGCAAGTTCGACTTCCAAGACTTGGCCACGGTTACACTGACTCAAACTTGTAGTGCTGTTGTGACGAGACTCATAGATGAGAAGTTGTCTGACCCAGGGAGTTTCACAATCCCCTGCACAATAGGCAACTTTGCATTTGCTAAGGTACTGTGTGATCTGGGAGCAAGCATAAACCTTATGCCCCTAGCTATCTACAAAAGGCTAGGCATTGGAAGAGCTAGACCCATGTTTATGCTACTACAACTGGCTGACCGAACTGTGAAAAGGCCCTCCGGGATTCTAGATGATGTATTGGTGTAGGTTGGGAAGTTTGTGTTTCCAACAGATTTTGTCATCCTTGACTGTCGTGTTGACGAGGAAATTTCTATAATTTTGGGAAGACCATTCTTGGCCACTGGGAGAGCTCTGATTGATTGCGAAACTAGAGATCTCAAAATGAGATTAAACAATGAAGAGATAACATTCAACATGTAGAAATCTATGCACACACCCAGTGAATTTGCCAATTGATATCTAATAGATGTAGTGGATGTAGTGTTGGTGGAGGACGATGCAACATTGAACCTTAAAGATCCTCTAGAAGCTTGTCTCATGAACTTAGACGAAGATAATTGTGAAGACTTGGCAGAGTGGGTACTCGCTCTTGAAGGCCAAGGTTTTTGGAAAAGGGAGTTGAAATTTGAGCCTTTGCACTTGGAGGAAAGAAAAACTCCTTCAGCTAAGCCATCAATAGAAGAGCCACCAAAGCTGGAACTGAAGCCATTGCCATCTCATCTCAGTTATGCATTCTTAGGACCTGACTCAACTCTGCATGTTATTATTTCATCCAGTTTGTTAGATGTGCAGGTAGAACAGCTTTTGCAGGTACTAACTGAGTGCAAGACTGTAATTGGGTGGACCATTGCAGACATTAAGGAGATCAGCCCGGCCTTCTGTATGTATAAGATTCTGCTAGAAGATGGGCACAAACCTTTCAGAGAACATCAAATAAGGCTAAACCCCAACATGAAAGAAGTGGTGAAAAAGGAAGTGATTAAATGGTTAGATGCGAGAATCATATTCCCCATTTCTGACAACAACTAGGTTAGCCCAGTACAATATGTACCGAAAAAGGATGACGGTAGTGAAAAATGAAAAGAATGAGTTGATCTATACACGAACAGTCATAGGATGGCGAATCTGTATGGACTAAATGAAGTTGAACTTGGCCACCAGGAAGGACCACTTCCCACTATCATTCATTGATCAGATGCTAGATAGATTGGCAGGGAGGCCTCACTTTTGCTTCCTGGATGGGCACTCGGGGTATAATAAGATTTCCATTGCCCCAGAGGATAGAGAGAAAACGTCGTTCACCTGCCCTTATGGAATCTATGCTTTTCGGCGAATGCCATTTGGCCTATGCAATGCACCCGACACATTCCAGAGGTGCATGATGGCCATCTTCACAGATATAGTAGAGGAGATAATGGAGGTTTTAATGGATGACTTCTCAGTGGTGGGAAATTTATTCGATGATTGCCTTGTGAACTTGAGGCGAGTTTTGAAAAGGTGTATAGAGACTAATCTGGTACTAAATTGGGGAAATGCCATTTTAAAGTACATGAAGGTATAGTCTTGGGGCACCTAGTGTCAAGAAAAGGTATTGAGATGAATCGTGCAAAAGTTGATGTGATAGAAAAGCTTCCACCGCCCACCACAGTCAAAGCAATCAGAAGTTTTCTTGGGCACGCCGGTTTCTACAGGAGATTTATAAAAGATTTTTCCATAATTTCTAACCCCTTGTGTAAATTGCTAGAAAAAGATCACCATTTTGTATTTTTTGATGACTGCAGGGTAACTTTTGAGGAATTAAAGAAGAGACTGGTGACACAACCTATCATAGTTGCTCCCAACTGGGAGCAATCGTTTGAGCTGATGTGTGATGCTAGTGACTATGATGTGGGAGAAGTGCTTGGACAATGAAAAGATAAAATCATGAATCCAATAAACTACGTAAGTAGGACGTTGAGTGGAGCCCAACTAAATTACACTATGACCAAAAAGGAGATGATGGTAGTGGTGTTCACATTTGACAAGTTCAGATTTTACTTGATAGGCTCAAAGGTAATTGTTTATACTGACCATGCTGCTCTCAGATACTTAATTGAAAAGAAGGATTCAAAACCGTGCCTGATTCGATGGGTGCTACTGCTGCAAGAATTTGATTTGGAGATCCGTGATCGAAAGGGAACGGAGAACCAAGTAGCTGACCATTTATCCAGGCTGGAAGGAGCTGAAAAGAAGGTTGAGGTAGAAGAGATTCTGGAAACTTTTCTAGATGAACAACTACTAACAATGAGTCTCAAGGAAGCGCCATGGTATGCAGATATTGCAAACTACCTGGCGAGCGGTATTTTTCCTTATGACCTTTCTTCTGTTCAAAAGAAAAAGTTCTTTCGTGATTGTCGTATGTATTATTGGGATGCGCCTTATCTGTTCAGGATTTGTGTTGATAACATGATCCGGAGATGTATCCCCGAGATAGACCAGTATTCTATTTTGCAGGCTTGTCATGCGTCACTATATGGTGGGAACTTCAGGGGAGTGAGGACAACTGCAAAAGTCTTGGAGTCAGGGTTCTATTGGCCAACACTGTTCAAAGATGCACATCTATGGGTAAAGGGTTGTGATGAATGCCAACGAACGTGAAACATTTCCCGCAGACATAAGATGCCCATGAACCCAATTCAGGAAGTAGAAGTGTTTGATGTATGGGGGATCATCTTCATGGGGCCGTTCGTCAGCTCATATGAAAACAAGTACATACTCGTCATTGTAGACTACGTGTCCAAATGGGTGGAAGCTGCAACACTCCCTACAAATGATGCGAAGGGGGCAATTGGTTTTTTGAGGAAGAACATTTTCACCCGATTTGGCACCCCAGGGGCAATAATCAGTGGCGGAGACACTCACTTTTTCAATTGAGCCTTTACTAAGTTGTTGGAGAAGTATGATGTATTCCACAAGGTGGCCACCCCATATCATCCACAAACAAGCGTGCAAGTGGAAGTCTCAAATAGAGAAATAAAGAGTGTGCTGACAAAAACTATGAATGCAACTAGAACAGATTGGGCGAGGAAGTTAGACGATGCACTGTGGGCATATCGAGCCGCTTTCAAAACTCTGTTGATACCCAGTTTTTCCCCAAAATATTTTAAAAACTATGCCTTGGCATAGTTTAGTATTTTTCATACTATTTCTACGTTTTTAAAATATTTTACCAATTTATCCTAGCATTTTATTTATAAAACAATCATTGATTGCTTCATAATTATTTTTATATAATAATTCTGTGGCTTAATTTTATCACTTGCATTTGTACTAAGTCTCAATTATTGTACAAATAGCCACATTTGTATATTAGGTTGCAATTGTAACTACTTTGCAATTATAACCTATGCATGCATTATTACATTATATTTCCAGAAAATAGCCTCTTATTTTTAAAATATTAAGTAATTATTTTAAAATATTTTCAGGCATTAAAATCATTTTTACAGCCTATTAGTTATTTTTAAAAATTGTTTTATCAATTAGGGTATTTAATAAATGGCCCTCTTATTTCGGATTTAGCCTAATTACCTAGCTCAATTTTAACCCCCAATTCAATTAAACCAGCCTAAATATACCCAACCCAAACCTATAATATCCAACCCGACCCCAAATTCTTTCAATCTCGGTCGTTGATCGCAGAGATCAACGACCCCAATTACCCCTTTCCTTTTTAGTTCCAAACGACCCCCCAAACATGGCATTCTCACCAAACAGACGCCTTGAAACCCTCTCCTCTTCATTCTCTCTAAGACCTAACCCTAACCCTAGCCATCGCCACCCAAAATTAGCCCTAATCCCTTGAATCCCTGTCCGATCTATGGCGTCCTATGGCTGTACGAGGCCTCTACACTCCTATCTCCCTTGGTTGCCCGATTATATGGTTTCATGCAATGACTGGTCTAGATCTTGTTTTAAGCCCTTCAAAAGTCCGTCTATGGTCCATAAATACTTTCTATCAAAGTTTCACGGCTCAAATCCTTGATTCAAAGGCCAGATTCTCCTTACCCTTTCTCCTTTCTTCAAGAAACCTAAAGTTTAGACTTGAATTGGTTCATATCTCTATAGATCTGGAGCGATCATGGGTTCATCGCTGATCTTTTTTTGAAATTCCCTTACTTTCTTTACTGGTTAATCAATTTCTAAACATTTTTGTTATATTAGGGTTTGTTTTCTTGTTATTTGTTGGTCGAAACTTTGGGTATCTAAAGCGTTTTCAAACTTCCATGGCTATTCTTTTAGTTTTTTTTACTTCTTTACTACTAACCGATTTTTAAACACTACGATACTTCAGGTTTTGATATCTATGATTTTTGTTTGTTCGAATCTCTATGTGTTGACATGCCTTCAAGTTCTTCTTCTTTAAGTATTTTCAAATTAGGGTTTTGAATTATTTTCCGTCTAATTTCTCTGGGTTCCTAAGGGTTTTACTCAACCCATTTGTTTATGAAAATTGATACATTCTTTCTAGAAATTGTTGAGTGATTTTCTCCGTTAAAATTCGTGTGCATGAATCTTGGTTATTTCCATATCTGTGACCTTAACTAGTCGTTCTTGCCTTATTTGACCTATATATTTACTGATTCTTCACATGATTCTTTCCTTAATTAAACCCTTGACTATTTTATTCTGAAGCTCTTTATTTTAGTTTGATTTGAATTCCTTTCCTTAATAAGGCCTCTGATTCTTACTTCTTTACTCAATCTGATTCTTACTTCGTTAGCTGTCTTACATCTTGTGTTTTCTTTCTCTAACTGGTATGCTTCTGATTAATTTCATAATCCAAACCTATGTGTTTATTTAATGCCTTAGTTCATCAATCCTGAGTTCATTCCTTCCTCTGTTTATTTCTTACCTAGCATGCCAAATACTGCTTTATTCATATATGTAATTAGCATGTCTCCAATTTACTTGTCTGTTCACTATCTTGTTTAACATGTCTTACATATATAACTAGCCTGTTTGACTGACTACTGTTTATCTAGCATGCCTAAACTTTGCTTTTGTGTAATTAGCATGTCTATACTTGTTAATACTTGCCTAGCATGTCCATTTAAGTCCTTACATGTTCTGCCTTACTCCTGCTAAGTTATCTAGTCTCCGTAGGGTAACTCTAGTTGTGTTGTTTATATGTCCTCAATATGTTTCTGTTGTGATCTTTGCTTCATGTTTCAATGACCTGCATTATATCTAACCTATTAGTTCTG